GGATCCCGTGATTGAAGGATGAGCGGCGCTATATCTTGTCTAAGTGCGAGTTAATCACACTGTTGATCAGCCACTCGTGGCCGAACGGTTAAGTGTTCAAACTACTAGCCAGGAGGTCGCGGGTTCGAAACTCTTCAGAGTTTCGTGAGATGCGCACTGCTGATGATTCCCAATAAGGATTAAACAGCTGCACAGTGCTTCTCGGCTTTTCAGCATAGGTGAGCTTCACTTACAGGACGAAATTTCCACAAAAATCCCAAATCTCCTCATACTACCAACGAGTAACAGCGTGTTGCACTGCTTTGTCGTCAGGATCGATCAATAAGTCCGCATCTAATCCACACCAAAATGACCCGTTATTTTGTCCAGCCTACTTAAACAAGCGCTTGGACAATCAATCGATATTATTTTTTTAAAACCTCGATTAATTTATTCATTGTTTAAAACCTCGACGAAATTAATTTCACTAAATTTGTAACTTTCCAGTGAAAACATAGGATTTTCAAGCCTCAGCTTAAAAAACCTACAAGTAATTAACCAAAACTTCAAGGAAGCACCACACTAGTCAGTTTTGTGCAAAACCTTGCTGTAAAGATGGGAGGGAGTGTAATCGGTAACAGTTGGTGTCACTTATAGTCCGCTACGCTTTTGGCAAGCTTTTGTTCCAAGAAAAACTCTTAAAATAATTAAATTTCTTGCGGTTCTTATATGCATGAGGCACTCTTCCTCTTTTTCCGCCCCCGCAAGCTCTTCAGTGTTGAATCTAATTTGACCTTATGATAATCCCCCCATTCATTTGCCTGCTAAGCCCATGTACTTTTGATCTCCAGTTGTTTTGCTTATCCGTACCCGCCACTCACCCTGCTGCAGAGGCCGTCCTGTCCGACACTTGTGTATTGACCTGTGTCTATGGCTGAATGTGGGCGGCGGACCTACTTACCCATGCGCGATGATGTACCGTTGGCTGAGCCTGGCTTGACTTGTTTTCTCACGAGCCCCGTGTGATCGCACGCCCAATGAGAATTACGAGACTGTCGTCGGAAGGGACGACCGCAACCCGTGCTACTGAGCCATCATTCCGCTCGCCGTTGTTTGGTGTGCGGCCGTTGACACTGCGCTGACAGACCTGTGGACTTGTTGACGCTACGAACATGAACAATTGAGGTTTGTTGTACACATTTGCTTACCCCTGTGTAGAATTACGAACCCAATTCCTCCTTTTGATATTGGGGATTGTCGAAACTACATGTCACTCAAAGTTCCGTATCGGGAACCTTAACATTCAGTGAACCGATTGCCGTTTGCCAACTGATTTGTTTGGTTTCTACACGAACATGTTAGAACTGTTTCGTCAAAGAAAAGATCGGACGCACTTTATTGCTAGTGGATCTTGAGAATACGACAAAACAACCCTTATTTACAAAATCATTTGAAAAGCTTAGTAGCTGTTTTTTACGCAGTAGACTGTAGACTGCAGAGTATGACCCGATTATAGTCCTTATCACATATAAGGTGCACAAGCCTGAACGGTGCTTTAGTACTTTCCAATAGGTGGTTGTGTATAGAAATATGGCACAAAGAACCATTAGCTAGAACTCATGGTTGCTTGCTGAATTTCCAGCTTTTACGATGCTTTAGAGTTGAAACAGATTCCGAAAGGTCGGTAAGTGAGCGAGGTTAGTGGTGTTTTTTGTTTTACTAGCGGTACGTTGGTGCTGAGCGCAATTCAAAACAATATGGTGTAGCCGCCAATCGATCGCATTATGTTCCAACCTGAGTACGTCGCATCCTTTTTCTCAGCAGAGATGTCATTCTTTTCGATAACCCGATAAAAAGCCAAAAAGTACTGTACGGATGTTTCATCTTTATCGGAAATCATCAGTAGTGCGCGTCTCACGGAACTCCAGGAAGTCTAGTACGCGTTACAGCCCGGATAATCGTTCGACCTCTTATATATTCGGTCATGCACCCAAATACGATGAATGGTACTCATTCTTCAGCCACAGAAACCACCTCACTCGTCAGATATTGGCTGACAGTTTGAGGGACGAGGTCTTAGAAGACAGGATTACTCTTCCGGCTGAAAATATGAGAATAGATTTTTATCCAAGTTTGTGCGCGCTCGTATAACGTCCGTGTCACACTGTTGCACGAAGGCTGGAATACTGCCAGGGCGCCCACACCTAGACAGCAGGACGATTAGAGTCCTCAACCAAAGCGTTTGACTCAAAAGCCTAACCGCAAGGCAGCGGTGTTCAGCTGGAAATGCAAGTACATTAACTTGTTTACGGAGCACTTCGCCACACTTGTTCCAACCCCCAACCTGGAGGACCAGGAGACTGTGTTCGTCAGACCCATGGACAAAACTGATATGAGAGACTCTGTGACTGTCACAGGGACACCTCCAGTGTGGCTCAATGAGTCGCCGACGTACACAAACCGCCAAACCGTTGCTCACAGACTAATCAATGATGTACCATTAGAAGAAGTGTGCTTAGTCATCATTTTATTGACAAGCGTAGCTCACTTCACATTAGTCTGTGGGTCAGAAACAGTAGCACTTCGATACCAACTTAGTTACTTTCAGGAACTATCACCTTATTTTTCACGTAAAATTTGCTATCCTGTTTTCTCTCAAAGCACCAAAGCACACTGAGCTTCCAAGAACCTAGGCTTATAAGCATATTTAGTGCACTTTACAGGTACAATTTTTTGCTGCAGGAACTTTAGTCTGTCTCTGGCGAAGGACGCGATTACGGAAGGCCCACAAATTAATCTGAAGCCCCACTGGGACGTGGTTTTGCATTTAACTGACACTGAAACCACCGAATTCATGCGAACTTATGTCAAACCCACCCAGAATAAAAGAGACATTCACACACCCCGACATCCTTGACCACGTGTTGATCGCTTTTCATTACCTGTACGTCTGTTGCATATGACACACATTCTTGTTGTCTGGAATTTCCGTGCTTTCTCTTTCATGGGTCTCAAGGATCAATTTTCAGATTCCTCTCATGTTGCTGACTTTAATCAGTGTAATGTCTTTAGGGTGCTTTGGACGAATCGTTCGCTTTTTGTCCATCGCTTTTTGTCATCTCATATTAACGTCATTGGACTGTAGATTTGAACTTTTTTATAGTACATAAGTCCAAGAGATTTTGTCAGAAGGTCGGATACTAAATGCAAGGATTCCTCCAATCAAACTTCTCACTATAACGAATTGAAGGTGGGCATATTCCAATCCGGAGGAAGAAGATATATGTAAGAGCTATCCCAATTTTACCCTTGGGTTTGGCCGTTCACCGTGGTCGTTCGAAAACTGCTGGCTAAGGACTGGATCATCAGAGGTAACATTTTCAGTGCTTCGGACTGCCGAAGCAACTGGTTAGGACTCCGAACACCGACGGCGTTTTTACTAGTATATGCAGATGAAACTGTTGCACGTCACTCAAGAATGCACCAGAGACCGTTTCAGATACAGGGCGAAACCGGTCGTGTGCTGTGGATGGATTTTCAGCAACCTTATGTGTAGTAGATTACAATAGAAATATATACATGTATCGCGATATTTGAAATGTTGTGGCGACTGAAACATGAGGCGGCCTGGTGCATGCAGCACACTCACTTGCCTGAGAACATCATGAAGTAACGAGAGATTCCGCTGGGTCCCAAGTGAGTCACCCGAAAGAACCAATTGGGATTGCAAATGATTGAATGTCTATTGGTAATTTTGGTCCAGTTTTTTGGTTCAGGTTGAACATAAGGTTGACGGAAACTCGGGGACTGCACCTACCTGATGAGCCCAAGGAGGGCGAAACCGGTCATGGGCTGTCGAAGAGCCTTGAGCAACCTTTTGAGTAGTTCCCTTTATGAAAATATACAGTAAATACTTTTACGTAAGCAGGTTGGTCTTAATCCTTGCTTTCAAATGGTGGGATTCATTCGGTCGCTTCACACAAATAATTAAGCAAATAAGTTCCAGCCTCAAGCCGTATATCATGAGACATCAAGCAGAGTCTGTTGAATAAAATCATCATATTCTGCAAGCCTTTTAAAAAATGAGCTGTGAGATTATAGAGTTGAGGTAGATAACAAGACTTCCTTCGTTTTGATTGAGATTTATCACGTAGACTTATCAGGATCGAGTACGCTTCTCCTGGCACAAAGCGCACTCACATGCCCGGCAAATGTTATTTATGGTGATGTCTTGACTTGGTTTGGTTTGTCGGCGAATTTAACCAAATATGAGGTAATCAGTGATATCCCTGATTCACCATGATTGTGGTCGTCAGTATGACTGCAAATGCCGCAGGATCTGATATGTAACGCCGCTAGGATTCACACTTCCGTTGCATGCCAGTGTGTTTCATGACTGCCTGCCGCTGTGCTAAGTGAAATATTTTTGGAAGGGATAACAGTTTACTCTAGGTGATCAAGGCCTGATTGACAGACATTGATAAACTGATGAGAAGAACAAGCAATCAATCTTGACGAGGTACCTTTTTGCAAAGCATTATTACGATTAAACAAGCTGAAAATTTGTTCCTAGACTAACATTAAAATATACCTTAGTAAAAATCGAGAATTTTCTTGAGGAACAGAGTGAAGTGTTTTTAAAACCGTCATTTCGACCCGATCTGGTGCGATTTTTGCGAAGCTGCAATTAAGTCAAATTTTCTGGTACCAGCGCTCGTGAAAAAAACATGTTCTAGCGAAATTTAACAGTTTTAACGGAAACTGAAGCAGAATTCATGGTATTTTCTGACTGAGCAAAACCAGGTTATCAAACACAATAGTGACCACACGGTGGCACCGATTGTTGATTGACATACATCGTAAGCGTTTAGCGGCAATCAACAACCGAATTCATTAGATGTAGCATCTTAAACAGCTGACTAATTTACGACGATCGATAGACCGCGTGCTTTAGCCATCGGTGATTGGCTTTCACCAAGCACACGGTAACTTATTGACCATGAATCTGCGTTGGCAATCAGTCTGGCTGGTTATGGCAGACGATCCAGCGAACCCAGTTCAAATTGGTGGACCACCGTCTGCCAAAAGACCCCTTGTGGTCTCCTGTTCACCCGGTCAAATTCTACTCCTTATTCATTTGGTGATTGCCATTATTGTTGGGATTATTGGTGCAACGGAGAATCGACTAAACTCGGGTAGGTTTTTGGAGAACGAGTCATGATTGCAGGGATTGACACACGGTTTTTTGCCTCCGATTAATATTTTGAACCGTTACACCTTTCTTTATTTCACTAAAGTATACGATTACGAAGGAAGGTGAACATCTCTAGTTGAAATATACTGGAACAAATGGTTTCATTCAGGTCCCTGGTTATCTAACCGAAAAATTGATAGATAAATATTAGAAAGTTTTAAGGGGGTGGTTAAGTTTGGTTTGCGAATTTACCCTCCAAATACTTCGTGGAAAAAGTAGAAGCGTCCGAATTCAGTTGCCGTTTCTATCCACATATTCGTTCTCCAAAAAGACTCGAATTCTCCTCAATGATGTGGCATTCACTCTAGTTGAAATATACTGGAACAAATGGTTTCATTCAGGTCCCTGGTTATCTAACCGAAAAATTGATAGATAAATATTAGAAAGTTTTAAGGGGGTGGTTAAGTTTGGTTTGCGAATTTACCCTCCAAATACTTCGTGGAAAAAGTAGAAGCGTCCGAATTCAGTTGCCGTTTCTATCCACATATTCGTTCTCCAAAAAGACTCGAATTCTCCTCAATGATGTGGCATTCATTCTTCGATGTACCTCATTTCTGCTCAATAATGAGTTGCATTCTGCAACAGACAACGTGTCCAGAACAACGTAAGTCAAATACTTATAAGTTTTTTTTCACTGATTAGATATGGGGGTGCCTTGTCGAACGTTTTTGCCGAAAACAGAAAAGCTCATTTGTTCTACTGACATGCCCCACTTAGTTGATCCTGGGAAGAGCCAAGATGAATACAGAATGCATCTGTCTAAAGCCTAGGAGAACATGGTGCAGTTGCAAGGAAATATCGTTCAGTTTTCTTAATGTTTTACAACTAAACCAAAAACGCCATTGGTTGGTGAGTGGGGAGTAAAACAAAGGAGGTATGTAAGTAACAAGTGGGAACAATCAGCTTCGATGATGAGTTAAACCGCAAGTTCCAATAAATTCAATAAACGGCACATTGCTAATGAGAACATCCAAGATTGTCAATAGACAGGTTGGAAACTGCTCACACAACAGTAATGCGACCACATGTATATTATAAAAACTCCGTAACAAAACAAAGAGCTATAGTTGCTCATCGAAATGGTAATAAAAGACAACTTTCGAGATGATGAAACAGAATGCTTCATTTTGCATTAGAAGGATGGTGCTCATCTGGACGCTAGAACGCCCAACGATGAAATGCACTCTTCAGAAGGACTCAAACAAACGTTTTTTTTACAATAAACAGTTGTTAATTTTTTTCCACCTGGGAGTCTTGCGGTCCATTTGCAGTTATTAATTATCTATGAGCGGAATACAGAGCAACGGGGGCAGTTACATCCCAACATGGAAAAGTTGGTCATTATCTTGGTTTCTCTAGTTGTCTTCCACACTTCAGAATGCTAGATATTGTTAGAAAATTAGTATTCCGCGTAAGACCAGTCCAAAGAAGAGAAGACTGAAAAGTCAGCAAACAGAATTAACGATGCTTTTGATAACTAAAATATTCGAGGGATACGAAAGGAAAATTGGCTTTCTAATGACCCGTTAAATGAAGTGACATGCTTTGAACTATGAAAGTCGCCATGAATTCAACTTTGAGTTCAAGTCTTTAAAGTGTGAACTTTGTGTAATAGGTTTTGGCACATTAGTCCTAATTTTGCCTGACGAAAATAATCCAAGCAGAAGCTTAGGCAACGTGTCAAAAAATGTGGTTGAGTATAAAAAATGTAAGTAATATTCTTGCATTTTCTCACACCAAAAGCATTCTGCGACAGTATGCAGTGTAATTTGCCAATACATTACTAAGATGGGTTTTTTCAAAGTTTTTTCTATTACCAAGGAGCTACTAACCTTATTGACTTTTGGTGATGGTATGACGTTTTACACAACTGACTCTTGACACTTTGGTCCAATTTTTTGGTAATAAAGTGTGGTATATAGATGCTAATTGCTGAAAGCAGACGGAAATTCCTCGTATCAAGATATTGCAAGTGGAATGACGTTTTATGGGCACAACCCAGTTTATTTGTTTTCTGAGAATACCTTATCATGTGACTTTTTTAAGTAATCACCAGCACCGGGTGACATATGCACTATTTCGATACGCTCGTTTGCATCAGAATGAATCCAGTCTACTCCGGCAGTTCTTCATAGCCACAGTTTCGCTTTGAACACAAGTGATAAGATATTGTTCAGATGCAACTCGCTTTCGTTTGAACAGTCGTCCTTCTGTTCTGACGTAATTATTCCGATGTGTCCACTCCAAGATGAAGCACTGGACTCGAGTTTCGCTCTTATTAGAGCCCATCAGAGGTGCATATCCAATGGCCGTGCCGGGCTTTGAACTCCGGACACCTGACATGCGAGGCGAACGTGTTACCACTATTCCGCCAGCGCATGTTGGACGCATCATAACTCTCACGTCTGAAAGGGCGAACGTGTTCACGCTTGAGGTTTGGTGTGGTTTCACCAGAATAATGGCACCAGGACAGGAGGACGACTGTTCAAACGAGAGCGATGTGAATGTGAATAGTACCTTGCCACTTGTGTTCAGAGTGAAACTGTTGCTATGAAGAACTGCTGGAGCGGATTGGATTCATTCTGGTGCAAATGGGCGTATCGAAATAGTGCATATGTCACCCGGTGCTGGTGATTACTTGAAAATGTCGGGGAGAGGTACTCGGGTGCACCATGCATGACAAATTTAAAACTCCACTTTTCAAGTCCTGATATCTGACAGTTTTCTTTTTTTGTGCAACTGTATTTGACCTGAAAGCTTCAAAGAGTGCGAGTGGCTCATGAATAAAGTGGTCCGATACAGATCACTGAATTGGTGTGATGAAGAAAACTCACAAAATCTAAATTAGTGCAGTTCAAGTGAAAAATATTGACAGTGAGTATTCTAGCTTGTCTTTGGAAAGTTAGAGTACATACTGGTTGGCCCGCGCTGGTATTGAGCACCAAAGATAAATCACATGAGTATCGAGTGTAGATGATTTTTGAACTTGTCACCTATTTAACCCTGACCCAATTTTCAGTGCGGCAACAAAAAACCAGATTTTGACTCGGGTTCCCCGAAGGGTTTTCAATTTAGATAAGGGTTGAATGCTTTGTGTTACCCCAAACAGCTGATATAATTTCATAAAGAATACTACTCACAAGGTTGCTGAAAAACTCTCCGATCTTGTGAGTAGTTTCCTTTATGAAAATATACGCGATATCCCGAATATCGTACTAACTGAAACATTGGACGGTCTTTGTGCAGCACATTCAGTTGCAGAATACCACGAAAGAGAGATTTAGTTGGATCTCTAGTGAAAACCAACCTGATTTGCAAATGAGTGTATTTCTCGAAAATGGTCCAATTTGAGTT